AGCACTTTCAACCTTGACTCTGCAATCGAGTCAAATATAGTATTTAATACAGGTTTCATAATGGGACGTGAGATAAGCAACAACAGATACATAAGCGCTGCCAGCCACGAAACGTAATTTTATTAACCGTTTGAAGAAGTAAGGTCGGAATAGCATTCACTTCGCAGAGAATACATTGCGTCTATGAAATGTACTACGTTCTCAGATGTAATTCTGTGTAGTCTGGTAGAAGTTCATCGACGTTTCGGAGGAACATATTGCCTCCATCATCAGGATCGAAGAGTAAGCCAAGCAGTTAATAAAGAATAAGCAAAGCGGTTAGCCGAATACACTGGATCTAGTTTACAGAATTCGCGATTGTTTGAAAATCTTTCGGAACCCACAAATACACTGTGCTGGCAAAATTGGAGCTCTTAAACTGTAAAGCAGGTGGGATATGCGAGATATACGGTATATACAGCACATCTTCCCTCCTGAAGTCTAAATGTCGAAATTTTAAATCAGATATACGAAACTACACTTTTACCTATTGTACTGTATTAGAGTGGCCGGTCACGGTAGCCGAGCGGTCTAAGGCATGTACTGTCTTCGCTCGCTTGGAAACCGGGATCGTGGGGTCGGATCTGTTTCCTGGGAGGTACGAACTGAATTCTTTTATATTATTCTTATCCACTGCCGGCCACGGTAGCCGAGCGGTCTGAGGCATGTACTGTCTTCGCTCGCTTGGAAACCGGGATCGTGGGGTCGGATCTGTTTCCTGGGAGGTACGAACTGAATTCTTTTATATTATTCTTATCCACTGCCGGCCACGGTAGCCGAGCGGTCTGAGGCATGCACTGTCTTCGCTCGCTCGGAAGCCGGGATCGTGGGGTCAAATTCCACCCAGGGGATGGATGTTCAGTGTTTGTGTGTATGCGTTCTCCTGTGTTTGTGTGCAGGTAGAGGCCTTGCGAGGAGCTGATCACCCGCCGAAGGAGTCCTACCGAATGTGTAAGTTCTAATAAACCGAACTGAAACGTAGAGTTTCATGGAGGTTGGCCAAGGCCCAAATTGGAGCTGTAGCGCCAAAAGGGGGAAAATATATTAGCGTGAAACTTTGTTCTCTAACTATATGGTGTGAACACAGATTGACGGCGTTTGTGAATTTGAGGGTTAAAGAAACAGGAAGCAAAAGCAGAAGGAAGAAAATGTATAATGAGGAGAATAATACTGGGGAAGATGGGTTGAAAATTCTGCAAGGAACAGAGACCGGAACATTATCAGCTGCGAAGCTGAGACCTTATAATCGCTCCGATATTTGATTCAGACGAATTGAGCCTTCAGTGTTTGCTGGCCGACCTCTCCCCATTGTTCCTTTAGGATAACAGCTAAACAGCTTCCGTGAAAATCGAATAATTGGCACTTAAAATATGTTGCAGATATCTGTGTTGGCATCCTTATGCCTTTTCTCTTAAGTTAAATGTGTTTAGTTCTTGTCTAATATCTTAGACGTTTTAAGAAGTCAGGATATGGTCCAGTGGGATACCAGTGCTGTAGCCAGTACATTTCTCGGGACTACATACTTAAGAGAATAACTTACAAATAAACTAGAACAGCGAGCAGTCTTATTACGTATATAGACATTTTCTTACCAGCGTATGTTGGGTGTAGGAGTGTGACAAGGTACACCATCGCGATTAGCATAAAGGGCGGAGAGCGCCTGCAAGTGTGGGTGCTAACATACCGACCTAATTATTCTGGAAATGTAAAGTCTGCATACATGTACATCTGATGCAAACCAACACCAACATAAACTTGGTTCACAACGCATCGTGGCACGTGAAAGTCTGCACTTTTACTGTACATATGCCAACCATTAAAGGGCATAGCACGACCGTATTATTCAAACAAGGGTGCTAAGGAATAGACAGATTTTCAAAAAGTGTTCTGAGCCATTTTCTACAATTTAGTGGCCCTGGTGTTTCGTTAATGGGGATAGAATTTTACTGTTGTAAACCTAATCCCGCAAAATATTTCCGTTTCTTTACATGTTCACCCTATTGAGAAATTTTCAGATAAAATTTGTATGTAGTAATTAGATTATATATAATGTAACATATAACATATATGACCCGGGATAGCTCAGTCAAATAGCGACCGGATACTTGCTGGACTTCGGAGTTCCATTCCCGGCAGAAATAAAAAATTATTCTATTTCCCATAGCGCCTAGAGGTCCAATTAATCTCCTATTCAAGAGGTACCGGGAGATTCTTTCCCAGGGGTCAAGGGACCGGGGCATGAAGCTGACCACTCAGCCCCACCTAGTGTAGAGGTCAAGAATGGTGGAGCTATACCTCCTCTTTACCACACACCTTAATGGCGTGGTGCTTAATTAATTAAGCAAGGGGACACCTTTACGTTGATGGATATTATAATAGTAAAAATATAAAAATTGCAACCTAAAAGGATCTTGAAAACACTCTTTAAATATAACATACTCTTCGAAGGACAGTTGTTTCTCAAGATTTCTAAAAATAAAGTTTTGCAGGAGAAGGGGAAGTATTTTCTTCGAAACCGATCTTTTTAGCGGTAGGAAAATGAGGTTTATGCGGAAACAGGGTCATCTTCATCGTTACGACCACACGGAACAACTGCAAACCATATGAACGCAGAAACCGGGTCTCGGCACGTGTCGGCTACTGCGGTAATGCATACAAGAGAACCTGGACGCTCAACAGATCGGAACAGCCTTGTTCTCTTTACAGCA